GGGAGTCGCTGCATATCCTCAGCCTACTCACAGAGGCCAGGTATCACAGGCGTAGAACAAGACAGCCCACACCGAAGCATTGTATACCCGACCTTTGACAGCCAGGCTAACGTCGCGACGGCGCCAGAGGTGGCTCAAGTTGATGTATGCCACCCTAGCCTTCATTATACGGTTGGAAATCTCATCTGTCACTTCTCCGCCAGCGCTCACACCACTACGCAGATACACAAACTTATCGACAACTTCAAGTGGTTCACCTGCAAGAGTGAGTGCAGGTACAGACTCCTGCCAATCTTATAACAGTACTTTGCACTTAGACGGCGCAAAGTACATACCATACTTACAGTCCTTGTGGATCATACTGACTTCTAGTCTGATATGCATACATGCCATTAACATACGCAACCACCTCCATACAGCTATAGGCTGAACCGCATCCACGCAATAAATCATCTAGCGAAATGAGAAATATGCTAACAGAATAATAGTAATAATAATAGTAATATATCCACTAGAGTAGGCCTATACATGACTATAGTTATGCTAAATCTAGCGTATATTTATGAATCTATCGATAGCGCTAACAAGTATAAAGTGATATATATCTGTACGCATATAACCATTTACACGCTATATAAGGTCGTGTACACGTGACTCAATATCACTTCAATATAGTGTACTCAAAAACGAAACAGTGAGAATTTTCTTAACATTTATTTAAACATAGGTGTCATTTATAGCAATAATAATAATAATTACTTTAAAATATCAATATTACAGTTACACCTGACAGATATACTAACTAACTAAAGGATAATTCTATCAGACATGATCAATGCTGTATAGAATGGACTAGTGGAATGTAATGCCATTGATCTCAAACAGAAACACAATGTGTATGAGGCCAGATTGCATAAGAAGCATACTGCAGTGGCGCCAGTCTTTTAGTTCTTCATAAGCGAATCAATATTAGCGTTAATTAACACAATCCAATTGCCTGACAAAGGTTTCTTTAGGTATCAGGTTATGCATATCTGAGAAGCCTGTGTGGGATTCGAGTTATTGCTTGCAGATCATATTGAAATACGACAAAACTCTGAAGTAATAATATACCGTATAAAAAACTAGACTACAGCTGACATCAGTGCTTCGAGGTGGCACAACGTGTATAACTAAAAGTAATAAGTCAGAAATTTCAACACGTCCAAGTTTTAAAGTCTTATAAGTCTACATCTATACCTATTTACTGTATATGCTCCATTCTATTCCATTCCTTCTCTACGTTCTGTTTGGTTGAATATTATATTACCGTTCAATTGAATTTTAGATTTTTCCGTCGATTGATTGGACCGAAGTGCTCACCCTCAGGTTTTGATATGTCAGCTCCTTGTGCCCATGCTTCAACGTTATCTGAGTACTTAACTTGAAGTAAGTTGGTGAACGGTGGCTGACGACTAGCAATGGAATCCACCAGGATGCGCATTTCGGCTATCCTATTTGGGACTCGTCAGCAAATGGATGTGTGGTGAGAGCTGGCTGCTAGCCGAAATTGGTAGACAGTAATTTACGTCAATGTTTATATCCCAAATATTAGTCATGTGAAAACAAGAACAAAGACTGACAGTAGACTTTGCGTAGGCGGATACAATTAGCAGATAGATGATCTGATATTCAAGAAACAGCCACAAAGAGATGAAAGATTGACTTTTAGTGAGAAATAACCAATCAGAAGGCTGTGTTTATCTGCTAACAATAGTCTATAATAATGTACATGAAAATATATAAATATATGTTGATTTCCTTAATAAATGATCTGTTGCCTGACTCTTGCCTTCTGTCGTTACAGATGTACCTGCATTCTCCAACGAATGTCCAAATTTAATTTAATAATAACTGATATCCACTGCACAAGAGGTGCGTGGTTCTCGTGGCCTGAGGGGTTTAGTGGATAACGCTTTGGCGTTTGAAACTATGGGTACTGGGTTCGAGACTCGGTGGGAACGTCATCACTCGCTGTGGAATGCAGGCACATTCAGATGACAAGTCCCAAATAGGACAGCCGAAATCTAAATTGGTGGATGGTGACTAGCTGTGAAATCCATCAAGGATGGGCATTTCGGCTGTCCTATTCGGAACTCATCATCAGCTGAATGTACCTACATTCGGCAGCGAGTGAGTCAGGGATGGTGTTACCACTGAGGCTCAAACCTACTGCCCATAGTTTCAAAAGCCAAAGCGTTAGCCACTCAAACCCACGGGCCACGAGAACCACCAATATGGACTTTTACTGAGGAACGCAGGTTGACGAGTCCCAAATAGGGCAGATGAAATTCGCATCCTAGATTCCACTGCTAGTCGCCAGTCACCATCCACCAACTAACTTCAAGTTAAACAATCAGACATCGTTGAAGCATGGGCACAAGGAGCAGACATTTTACAACCTGAAGCCGAGCACTTCGGTCCAATCAATCGATGGGAAAGTCAGAATTGAACTAAAAGGTATTTACTACCGGTTTACGTTAAAACTATTGTGTCAACTAAAGTTGTCTCACAGTTTTATCATCAATAAACACAACTGATGACTAGCACTTCCAAAATATGTCTTTAATCCATTAACCTGCACTGTTCTATCGTCTTCTCTACTTGCCTAGAAGTCAGGTAAAAGTTAGAATAAAAAAAAACCAAGACTTGTAAGCCGCCATTTACACGAACGTATTAGCCTATTTGTATGTTAGTGTGTCGTCATCTCTTCCCTGTTTGACTTTGATATTCGTCAGCTTATAGAAGATTGAAATATCGAACTGTAGACTAGAGACTCTTTCCAACCAAGGTTGGCTATCGACCAGAGGGCGTGTGTACTCTTCATCAGTTCGCTCCGTCCTCCTTTATGGGTCAGGCTGGAAAATAGCTAGCTAACGGCGGTCAGACCAAAACATCACACCAGTCAATGTAATTCACAACAGTTAGTTTAGGCCAGCCACGTAGGAAGGTGTAGACTTCCTGGTTGTGGTTCTCAAGACGGTAAAAACCAATGGTTGGAAATAGTTGATGATATGGCTCAAACTCTTCGTTCTCAATGCCTAGCGCAGATGCATCCACTCCTTGTGACTTATGATTTCAAATGAAACTATATCGTCCTTCGATATTACTATTCCTCTGTCTCATACTTCTGTTTACTGTCTCTATTATGAATGTCTTTTACTTTCTTCTCTTGCTTTGTGTGCTACATGGAGGGAGTGTGGCGACTTGAACTGGTGCACATATGTGCAAAGTTCTATGTCGAAAACAGACAGACAGACAACTTTAATGGTTTATATATCCAGTGTCTTCTGCCTCTACTTTGAAGAAAACAGATCAAAATAGCTTTTTCACTGATGAATCATCGTCCTACAGAGTGCAATAACTCTGTTTTTACAAGTTAGCTAAAAAAAAATACACCTTGTAAATGAGAAAAAACTAAACTTCAGCGCGCTCACTGAACTTTCAACAGTGTACACTTTATTTCCTCATATTTTATACTAGTATTTGACATTTCTTATATTTTCCTTCACGATGGCATATATATTAATGATGTGCCCCCAAAAGTCGACTGAAGGTGGACTTATTTTGGAATGCAGCGACTGATACTGCTCCACCGCCTTGTGGATCAGAATTCAAGCCAAAGGCTTCGTGTGGGGAAGGTTACTTAAGACAAGCACTTGTTTCAGCCTTGGCCCCTGGATAATATGTTAGCCCTCATATAAACTGCGAGATTTTGTGTGGCGCATCTCTTGGCGCCCATAATGCACCAAGGTTGTGTTTTAATTCAAAAAAACTTTTTATGATATTACAGTAATGCTGAGAGTAAATATACTTAGTAAAAAGTTATGAACAACCTAGCTATTCTTCAAACAGTGAAAACTATCCATTTCAATTATAGGATATCAAATGTTGGTTTTCAGGGATCTGATGATTACAGGTTGGATCACGAGTTGACATCAGTTAGAGAACCATTGGAAACCCAAACTGGGAGCAATGGACATCTGTTCCGTCCTAGTGTTTGCGACTCCTCAGCAGTACGCGCCCACCGGACAGGGTCCGAACCCAGTACCTTCTGGTTACATAGCGAGCTCGTCGACCATTCCGCCACTGGGACCCGATCCAATGACCAGTGCATGAATTTCAACTTCTGCCAATTTGTGGCTGAATGATCTACGAGGTTGCTTTGTAGCCGGAAGGTCCTGGTTTCGAACCCTGTCAGTGGGTGCACACTGATGAGAAGTCCTGAATTAGGATGAAACAGCTACCCAGTACTCCCAAAATTATAAGATGGACACTTCAAAGTGTTTTCCATAATTATTGAGGTAAGCGTTGTAAAATTGTCTTTAAGGGGATAATGGGAAACGAAGAGATCTATCCTCATACGTGACTTGACAGTTAAGTACACGTGCACATAGTGAACAATGTAGTCTTGGTAGGTGAAGCAGGGTTCGGTTATATAATTCCCTTGTTAAAAGCTGAGTATGTAAACCAATGAGTTTCAACTTTATTGAATAATTGACGCTTAAAGGACAAAACACATTTTAAAATATATTATAAGAAGAAAGAGTGAAATGTAAGGCAGATTTTTTCAGAGGTGACTGTATTTTAAATAAAAATTCCAAGTGCTCGGATAAGATACGCTATCGACCATCTAAGATCAATACTAAGCGCTAATAAAAAATTATTAGGCCTAAGTTTGATTTAGCTGAATAGACTTTTGATAGTAAATATCAAATAACCTTTTGTGTCAGAATTGTGTCAGTGAATTTTGTCAATACACTAAATTCACTCTCTTGGTATATATATGCAAGACATATCGGTTAATAAGAGCATAGACTTAAATTCAAAACAACGCTTAACAAGATTTAATGAAGATAACATACAACAACAACAAAATAAATAAATAACACAACTCTTCAACTACTCACCATAATTATGTAAAATTGGTCTGTGTAATGAAGATGAATATAACTTCATACCTCTAGCATTCTCCAATAGATTTATACGACGTAGACAATCAGCTAGTGAACTTCTTAGGCATGCTAATTCATTAGCTTGTTCAGCACTTCTTTTCTCCAAGTCTATAACGCGATCTTGTAGACCAGCGTTCTCCAGATTCATTAATTCAACTAAATAGTAAAGATGGTAGGTAATTCAAGAGTGAAGTTAGCAAAACGACTGAATGAATGAAAAAATTTTGTGAATAGACCAAGTCGATCGATGATATTTTAAGTGCTCCGATGACTGAGATGACTACAAAGTGCCATGTCATTGTCTCTCTTATCGAGTAACCTGAAATAGAACTACAATGGAAAGGAATTAAGGGGCAACAGACTTAAAACATGACATCAATTCATGATGTCTTTGACTGTCGGTCTGAAACACGTAGGCAGGCATAGACTGCTAGAATAGAGTCAAGCAGACGCTAAGAACCAATGAGAGAGAAAACCAATGAGTAAGAAAGCTTGAAGTGTTGCATTTTGTGCGAAGTCCTGTCTTAAACTTAGCCAATAACGCCCATAAGAAACGTATTCACCAAAATAGATTTTACCTCAATACGTATTCATCATTTGTACATTTCTGTGCAAATATATGCATATTTAAAAACATTTATTTCCCGATACGAATTTAAAACAAGCAATAAAGGTTGATGTAGCAAGATTTAATGAATTCGAATTTCGGTGGAACTCGTCAGCTGAATACTCTACATACACACATATATACTTTTGAAATTACATTGGGAGATACAAGACTGATAAGTAAACAAACTGCACGGAATTAGTCATGTAGAAAGACAGGTGCGAATGTTTTCCAGGTCATGTTCAAATACATAAGGGGAGAGTATGAGAGATCAAAATTAAGATAAATTGCATTACGCTTCAATTACATCACTTAGATAAACAATTAGTCATTAGAGAATATAACAAGAATTGCAGAGTAATATCAACAGTAACAGTTATAATAATAATGTTGCAGTTAAGATAATCCTACTGATAAAGGATAGTTTTAAATGAATCAAGAATAATAAGAGGTAGAATAATAAGTAAAACGTATTATTCCGCGTCGGTGGCATAGAGGTTACGACGCTCGCCGACCATGCACATGGTCCGGGGTTCGACCCCGGCCGCCAACGCACTCCTTTACCTCAATAAGCCAGAAATAATGCTGGTAAAGAGGAAAGGTTGGGCACGAGGCAGGCTAGCAACCCCACCCTGTAAAGTAAACACTGCCACAGAAACTTTAAGCCACTAGCTTGAAGCCCTATGTTCCACTGGGAAACGTGAAGGAAAATAAAAAAATTACCATGGTAGACTCAGAGTCACGACCATCTCCTTTTGTACACAGAGACCTGGTTTACAAACTCAAATTGCACAAGCCTCTGCAATTGCAAGCATCTTCTCGTTGCTTTGTCTGCTGACAACAGTGAATGACTTGACAGCGTCGATATCATTTCCGTAGTCCACAAAATGCTTTATTATTGAGGTTTCTGGCACTTTGCACTCAGCTGTTTTCAACCATTTTGGCAAATGCTCCAACAAGCGATTAGTAGACAGTCGCCTTTCTGTACGACCTGGAAAACATTCACACCTGTCTTTCTGCATGACTAATTCAATGTAGTTTGTATATACGCATATTTATTCACCCTTATGTGGAGCGTATCATAGAAGCTCTTACAATGCAGGTACGAAAACTTTAAGACTCAGATTAATCAGAGATAATATATTCACGAAATACTAAGTGTTCCATACATATGACTTAAACAAATGGCACCCAGTAATAAAGTCAGTATGTTGTTAGTATAGAAAATGTACAACAAAAAATTACACGATAATTGCATTATTTAAAGTGCGATAGCTTAAAATATAACATTTCTATAACACTGATTCAGATCTCCATGCATACTAACGAAATAACCTTGTCTATTCAAAATTTCTAAACTGGTATTTCGACACACGCCTTTTGTAAGACACGTAAATACTAGTGATTACAAGTTCTGAAGGTTAATAAGTCAGTGCGATCGTCAAATAAGGATTTTAAACAAAAACCTGACAATTTAAGACAATAATCTCGGGTACGAACGTTGGTAAGAGCATGACAAAAGTTAAAATTCGTTAGACAAGATCTAAAGTATTGAGTGTTAAATTGTACGGTCACATGCGTCCGCGTTTAAATAAAGTATTACGCCACACCAGCAGTATATCGATTATATGGAATTTTTACGTTTAGTTGCCATAATAACCTTGTGAGTAAATTTCACACCAAACGATCGAGCATTGTAGTGACCCATTTTACTACTCATCTTTGTAGTATACTTTCACTATGTAATTAGACTTTGATTTGTTTATCACTAAATATTGCGTGTTACAATTGATCCTTTTGTGCTTGCTCGACTTTAGAATTTTGATTACTGCGTTAATACACGTTCGTACTCCTTCTCAAGTACCTTTTGATTTACGTTGTGGATGTTGAGGAATTATAACGTTAGGACACAATAATAAACGCGAGGAAGTACTAGGATATACGTGTACGCTAGTTTGATCAAAAAGAACACCCCAACAGCATAACTTTTTATATCCCCATTTCTTTCCAAAAGAGTAAGAGCATTTATAGTCAGTATCGCAAATACTGAGGTCAGGCAGTAACAATACCACTGCCATTTTAAAAAGATTTTGTTCATGTTGTTGATTATATGGCTTTTGTGTTAAGTTGAGTGCTGTGATGAAAAATTCCATAAGGGAGGCAGAATATCAGTCGCCATGTGAGGATTATGTATAAAAGAAATACTTTTGCCACGTTATTTTATTTACTGTGATTATGAGCAGGGATTTAGACTATGACTTATTAGATCAACATTTTATGATTGGCTTAGAACAATATTTGTTTAGGATCAAAAATATAACGATACTATTACTAGATTTTAGGATGCAGGAAACGTGGTGGTACTCTGTTGTCGTGGACTCGTCTGATATTTGAAGCATATGACATCCGAATGAAAGCATGTCAGCAAAATTTGAATGACATTCTAAAAATAATTTTATTCTGCACCCTGTGTACTTCACAGAGCAGTGGTTTGTAATCTGAGGAGCTATTCTTTCTTCGTTTGAAATCAGCTTTTTATGACACTTTAATTGGTTGTTGAAATGTACCTTGAATGAAATGCAAAAGGGACATCACAAAATATCTCACTCTTCACGGTGTTATAACATTGAAGATAATAATTGTAGCGCCTGATATTATTCTTCTGTATCCTTTAGAACGCGTTAAAAATAATTCTAGACGTGATAGCATAGCATTTCTGATGGTGCGATATCTATTTTTATGCTGTGAGATGATAAAAAATGGTTTCGTGCTTGTTAAGACAAGCGCTCTAGAAACTATTCGAGTATCAAGATTATAGACCAACATGGAAGTGCAGACAATTTTTCGTTACCCTGACTGCACAAGCCACAAATAACACAAGTTAGTGAGAGCAACCAGTCAGAAATCTTAAATTTAGTTTGTATAAACGACAAAATTATAATTAAACTAACCATGCATTTCTGTCTGTTCCGAATGCATTTCAAATAATGTCAAGGTCGCAAGTCCAACGTCCAATTAAAGTGGCCTGAAAACTCCAGAGATGATATTTATAAGCTAGTAACCCTATGCTTGACCATTTCAAAGAGGCTCATGCAAATAGCTGTCTTATGAAGCACATACTACTATTTATTTCCATAAACAGTTTCTTAAGTCGGTCACGGTGACAGAAATCACTTACTTTACCTGAAGACGTTCCACATTGATGCACTTGTTTTTTTCTACGCAGCCTCTATTGTATCTAAACCCATACAGAACTATTCTTAGCAAAGAATTTGAGAAAACCATATTTCAAGCTGAAAACATACTATATATATATATTTATTCACACCAGAATTTTTTTCTTCTTGCAACATGGCCAGCCTCTCAGATAAATAATACCACATGTGACCTCACATGACAATGAGATGTATAGAAAGTATGTCCGTACAGGTTAAACCTCCATGGTTCTGGAGCAGTACTACTGTAATGCAGGAATAATAAGGCTTTCTCTTTAGACCGAATTATGGTATACTAAGGCTAGCCTTAAAATGTTTTGTAGTATACTGCCTGTTGCTTCCACCTCAGCTCTCTTAGATTGAATTAAGTCGATTAAATATCCTGCTCCGGTGCAAGTATATTGTGCCACTTTCAATAATTAAGGTGCTATTCTCGTACTATCGCTACCGTAACGATAACAAAAATAGAGCCAGAACGCATTCCTATAGACCTAGCTTCTAGTTACCTATTATTATCATTAAGTGCGTCGGTAGCACAGTGATTAGGATTCTCACCGACCATCCGTATGATCCGAGGCTCCATCCCCCGCCGACGGACACCTCATATCTATGGTCGACCTGCAAAATTTGGGCTACCGATAATATCCATGCTGAAAATTCCATACTTGCACCAAAAATATAGTGTGGAATCAAGCTGTAATCAAAAAAAATTAAATGACTTAACAAACGCCCGATAGCCGAGTCTTCTGCAATTAAATGTTCGAAATTGCCATAAATGCTTCATGTGTTGATGCTAGAATCTCGTAAATGTTTCAGCTTAGGTCAGGAGGTTTGCTTGTTTCAAGTTTATGAAAGATTAGTTGGTCATATCTATTGAAGAGAATCAAGGAAGACATCAATACGATCCTCCATACTATTGCCTCCAGGTAAAACCTAGGAACTTCTATCTGATGAAAGATCAACAGAAGCAAAGCCTGATTCCTCCTTTATAGTCAGGTCGCAATATAGCAGAGGCAAGGGTATAGTACAATTTCCTAAAAAACATTCCAACATGCAGAAGAAGCTATGGCAGCTACATGCTTGCTAATATTCTAAATATTCCAGCGCCTTGTGACGACACTCGCAAGCTTTTGTTACCTTTAAAGATCTTTGTTTCAGACAATTTCGTCCATGTGGCTAATTAAGCTCTTTTCTCGTATGCTGCTTAGAGCTGATTCCCAATGAAGACCGCAGAACGAAGCAATATAACTCTCTCCCAAAAAGATATTTAGAAATTCATCTGAAGCTTCAACTGCGAGCCAACCACTTTGAAAAAACCATTCAATCGAGATAGCGCATAGCAAGTTCATGAACCGAAAACTATGCTAGAAGACCACAGCCATTTAAATCTTGGCAGGCATGAAGTCCACAAGCCATAACATCCCGTCCGAACAAGGAGTCCAGGGCAAACTTCAGTTTGCACAAATTTGAATTCCATGGTAGTAATGTTTGAAGCAGAACCCTGAATGTACCAAAATAAACTCCTCCCAGCTATTGCATAGTGCCTTGAAGTCCACTAAGGTCAAGCATTTATACTTACATGTCAGGATTAATGTGATTTCGGTATAAAAAAACTGGTTATTAAATATATCAGGTTTCCGCACTAGGATGCGATAAACAAGATTAAAATTATCAAATGTCCCCTCAATCATAACTTTGCAGTGTCGTGGTAAATTGAATCACCTTGAACATTTTTTTGAGTGTAAGGTATCAATTTCCATGGAGTAGCTATCCCAGCTCTTTCCTGATCTTCTAATATTCAGTTACAGAACTCAGGTACAAATTAGACAAATGAATTATTTTCGAATACCATCTAATGGCATTTCACTAATTCGACTGTTATTGGTTAGCCCCACAATTTCTGTATATTTGAGTCCGAATTCACAACTACGGTTATTTAGTTATGTCAATTTCCCTACAGTATCTTAGCAGTTTTTGCGATGTTATCTTTGTTAATGTCTGTACCAGGTCAACCGATCAGGTCTTGATATCCGGATAAGCAAGCAATAAATTGCTCATAAACTCCTAAGAAGTTCGCGCGACTTTGTGAAAGCATTCTGTCAGCCAAGTCTCACAAACTGTCAATGTCCAGTTCTTACTACGCTGGACCTCACGCTGTCCCTGGAAGACCTTCAGAAACAATCTGTATTAACCAACGCGAAAACCAGAACTCTGATTGGCGACTCACGAATCCTTTATTCTCACGCCAACATATAATCAACAATAAGGTTATTACACAAGGTCTAAGAACAAATGTTATATCAATAAATCATGATAATGCTTCTGATAGTTTTTTATCTTCCACTGAACAGCGAACGATGAGACGATGACTGCTGGCTTGATGACTCCCACGGAAAATATGGAGGAGTTGGGTTTGAGCAAACAACCATGAATTGATCTTTCAATCTTCAACTACAGTAACACATCCAGCTGACTGGACATTATGATGCGTACTATCCAAGCAGACTCCGGTTAAAATGTTCACGGCTCAAAAACTGCAAGTAAAGATGGGAATTTGAGACACAGCACTTATCTCGGTTGTACCGAGTACAAATGCACCAGTCAATTCAATTTTCCCAGGAAACAGTGTGGCATGATGAGGCTTACTAATTGCTTAAAGGTCTGATGAACTCTGAATGAAGCACGTAACAGAAATCTGTCTTCCTTATCTTTTTCTGGGACTACCATCCTAGATTTTACAATCCAGGAGGCCTTTCGTATACGCAATGCACGATTTTGAGGCTGCCCTTCGAGCTTTGAGCTTGGTGATGTTAAAGTTGGAAGCCCAGTCAAAATTTCCAGAGTCTCACGGCTGATACCGCGGAGGATGAGGTAAATTTAGAGGATTGGTGTGTTTTCCATATCATTTGCATACGTGGATCCTTCATTCATTATCGATCGTCTCCTCCTAGTATCTACCATCAGGACCTATCTCCTCGTAGGACTTGTAAGAGTAGTGCTGACTTCGGGTAGACCTCAATAATGAAAACTCCTACAAATATTTCACCGTTTTATGCCCTTAGGTGTACTCTACGTAACGTGTAAGTATTGACGGACGAAATCAGAGTGAAAAAGACTTGATATGATAAGGGTGTCTGGACAGAGATACATTTTATACAAATGACTTATGAAACTTAATAAATAAGGAGTTTATACAACTTATCTGGCGCCTTGATTGGCGGTAAGCTCGGAGAGTGCACTAAATGAAAGCTTAACAGGAGAGCGAACCAGAGTTAAACTCCAAGGATGAAGATGTGTTAAACGAGTGGGTGAGTGAATTCAAAAAAGTTCAAGAGTTCAGTGTGCACGACAGACTAAACCCAAAACGGATGGGCCTTAAGTCTGGGGTGGAGAATCACAGCTTTCTGGACAAAAGATGTGACATAAACGTTTAAGAGATGAAGAAGTCTCGGCGTTTACATGGCGAAAGATGAATAAGAAATTAAGTCCTTAAACCCACAAATCCCACAGTGAATTTTCCGTGCAGGTCAAGTGAAATAAAACAGAAAAGTGGATATCCAGAATACAAAACACATTGTCAATGTAGTTCAAGACTGAACGATCAATTCATGGTTGTTTGCTCAAACCCAACTCCTCATGATGCATGATGCAGTACATGGGGGACACCAGTTTACAGGCATCATCTATGTCAATCACGTCTCATAAACCGTTAATGCCCAGCTCTCGCTACGCTCGGGCCCACGCTGTTCTTCGAAGATTTCTCAGAAACGCTTAGTTATAACGGACGAAAAAACCAAAACACCGATCTGCCGCTTTAGATTTGTTTATTGTTACACCAACATATAAAAGGAATAAGCGAATAAGAACTAAGGTCTGAAAACAAATATTACAATAATAAATCATAAGATTACTTCTGACGATGTTTCACTCTTCTTTCTGAACAGCGACCGATGAGACGATGACTGTCGTATTGATGCCTCCGCGAAAATTGGGGAAGTTGATTTTGAGCAAACAACCAAGAATTGATCGTTCAATCTTCAACTCCATTGACACTCCCCGGCAAAAAAGGGATCCAACCCTTTTTTCCTTCACGACCAATGCACGTTGACTTGGATGCCATTGCGAGAACCTGGGTCACACGGACAGAGCTGAAATGGAAAACAAACAGAAAAGCCAACACACCACAAGCATACCCACAGCACAATCTCACACATCGCTGACGACCTGCGCCTCCAGACAGAGACCTCCTCTTGACATCTTGCAACACAATCGCCACTTACTAGAATGACTCTTGCAGAATGCAAAGTGACCATGGCAGCACCTCACGATACTCTACGCACATCCTCTTATCTACTCACTACCAATTACCATTGAAATCGCTTGTCACTCATTCTGCCTCAGTTCTAGTAGCGGTGACGCATGCGAGCCTCAGTCGTTTACACTCTTTCTCCCCGGCGTGTCGGACCGCAGCTAACAATTATCTCCGTGTGCGTTTCATTCTCAGCAATAGCCTAACCTCCCCGGCGTATACGACCCATCTGCTGTCTCTAACATCAATCAATTCATTCACGGATGTAGAAGACAAGAAACAACTTCAGAAGTAATCACGACGAAAATTTTAACAAAATTATGCAATAAAAACAAGGCACGAAAACAACGAGTAAACACAACTGATCCAAAATCACAAATTGCGAAGACACACCACACGTATACACAAACAGTACAAATAACCTCGCGGATCATGTCTTGGTGGAATTATTTTGA